TATGCAGTTCACAATAGATAAGGAAGATAAGGTAAAGCATAAACAATAATCACAACCCATCATAAACAATCCCCAATATAAATCCCATAGTCACATCCCAAGGCACTCATAATCACAACTCGTCCATATCACACACATAACGCACATTGTTGGCGCCACAGGACCGATCGCATGCCCATACATGAGGGTCAGCGCATATAGCTCTGACACAGCCCCGCAGCACCATGCCCCGCATCGCAACACGGGGAGGTCGATCGCAACCGACCGATGAACCGCAGCTCATCATAATGTTTGATCGCAACCAAACAGTGGACCGCAGCCCAAGAGAGTGTCATCTGACCGCAGCCAGGAATACCAATCTGACCGCAGCCAGCTTCTGAACCGCAGCTCAGGATAACCAATCCGATCGCAACCGAATTGGGGTAGCACCCACACATAACACATAGCAAGCACATGCAACCCACGTTACACATTGGGAAGGGGAATAAAGCGTATAACAAACCTATGCGTGATCCATCACATACTAAGAATAGTCCTAAGGGGTTCATACTTCTTTCACCTAGGTCAACGGGATACCAATTCAACTAGCATGCAAGATATAGACTCATAAACCTACGAACGGTACCCGAAACATCAAACTAGACATAGGCACGACAAGCGGGGTCCGTTGGGACACCACGGGGATCGGGGAAACATCAAACGGGGAAGCCGGGGTCCCGAGGTGGGAGAAATTCCAGCGGGTAGCCGGTGGGTGGGGGTCCACCCGCCGGCTGACACTGTTCCGGGCAGCGGGTGCCCGGCGGGCAGCTGCCCGCTGCCGGAGCTGCCCGAATTGCCGCGGGTAGGTGGTGGGTCCCCTACCCCCACCTACCCCCCACTGACTCTTTTCACCACTTTTCGTCCCGGGAACCGTTGTGGAACCCGAAACCATGCTTAGACACTTTTCAACGTAATTAACGACAACACGTAGACAATTCACAGATCAAATACGATAACGAACGGCACATAACCTAACATGCTTTTCTAATCATAATCAACACCCCAAACATGCGATTTCCCACCCGATAATCAAAGAATAAGATCATACGATACAACCTAGGGTTCTAATCACTTTTATATCAACAAGAATACGGTTCGTCTTCTAACTGCAAGATTCGGTAGGAACAACACATAATCCTCAAGGGTACCAATTAATCATCAAGAACATCATAATCATCAAGAACAGCACATAATCATCAAAATCCCAATTAATCATCAAGAACATCATAATTATCAAGAAACTCCCAATATCAAGATTATCAAGATTCCTCATGGAATCATTATATCGACATCAATAATAATCATCATCAATCTCCATTTACAACAATATGGGGGAAACCCTAAGGGGAAATCATATCTATGAAAATAGGTTTTGTTGAGACATGGGTTACCTCTTAGCCTTAATTAATTCCTTGGCTATGAAGGATCTTTCTTTAAGCTTTCTTGCTTTCTTGATTTCTTCTAAGGGAATTCTTGGAGCTCTCCTGGGGTGATGGGGCGTCTAGGCGTGTGGGGGGGTTCTAGGTGCTCCCTAAGTTCCCTATTTATAGACCCAAGGGTTTATTTAGAGTTTATTCCTATTGGGTTTAGGGGTTGGGTTTATATAATTGGGCCCATGGGCTATGGTGGCCTTTTTCCTAATTAACCATTATAATTTATTCTTTCTCCTGGGTTATTAATTAATTAATTAATTAATCAGTTGGTTTTAGGATCCGTAACACGGGGTGTTACAATGGGGCTGGGGTTCATTTTGAGGGATGTTGAAGGTTCTTTTGTGGCTGCTAAGGAGATTCCCATGTCTGGCTTATTTAAACCCGTGGAAGCTAAAGCTATAGGAGTGAGAGAAGCCCTGAAGTGGATCAAGGAGCTCTAAGTTGACTCCATACAGATAGAGTCTGACTACTTGAACGTAATAGAAAGCATTAAGATCCAGCAACTCTACTCCTCTTTTGATCTCATCATCAACGATGTTAGGGAATTAGCTAAAGACTTTTTGAATATTAGCTTTTTGTTTGCTAAGCGGTCTGCGAACAAGGTTGCCAATTTGTTAGCTAGGGAGGCCTTGTTCAAGTCTGACTGTTCGGTCTGTTTTTCTTTTCCGTTTCCGTCTGTTGTTTCTACTCTTGCTTTAGACTCTAATTAATATATTTGCTCTTTCGTTTTTCAAAAAAAAAAAAAAACAATAAGAAATGAATGCTATAAGTTTGCTTATCACCCTAAGCAATGATCCATCACAACAAGCAACTAAATCAATTGATATATTGTCATATTGTATGTCCAGGATCCATGAAACACACATTGTATAGAAGAAACATGGACTGTTGCTGCCAAAGTTATCAGGACTTGGACTGTTGCTGCCAAAGTCATCGACGGCGAAATGGTTCTCCTCGTCGGGGACTCCCAAAAAGAAGCGCATTCCAAAACCAGATCGAAATTTCCGGCCACCGGCGGCGCCCAAGCCATGGTGCTAAGGAGGGAACACGTCTACGGCGGCGGCAAACTGTACATCACCAGAGCCACCGTCGGCGGCCGATACCGAAATATATCCATCGATTGCCGGTCTCTCTGATTTTGTGTATAGCCACCGGTGGCTATATATATATATATATATATATATATATATATATATATATATATATATATATATATATATATATATATATATATATATATATATATATATATATATATATATATATATATATATATATATATATATATATATATATATATATTATATATATATATATATATATATATATATATATATATATATATATATATAGGGTTCAGATCAGGTGAGGACCTAATCTTAGGTGAGGACAGGACTAATCTTGTGCGTTTGTTTTTTGTTTATTTTTTTTTATTTGGATGGCTCAGATTTGAGTTCCTAAGATGACATGGATTGATTTTTTTTTTTTTGTTAAAGTGGGATAGTAGTGTCTTTTTCTATATAGGGTGCCTTTTTGGTGCACACCACACTTACAATGTGAACTTGTGCACTCTCATGTTGCGTAGATTTTGGTGATCCGATGGCTCACAATTACAGTGCACTTTTCTTGTTGTACCTGCGGAACACAGTGGCTTAGTTCAATTGCGTAAATTCATATTTTCTAATTTTGAATTTACGACTCCCTACACCTTCACGTGCATGTTTCTCGGAGGAAGTTTGAGATTGGCGGAAGGTGACGGAAACACGTGTCGACTATGGGAAGGCTTAACCTGTTAAACAAGTCATTTTACTTAATTGAATAATTTTAAACAACTATGGGGGACTAATTTGACCCTTTTTCCATTCGTAAATGATATATACTCCGCGATTCCTAAAAGCTATAAAAAATAGTTTATTACCGAAATGGTCCCTCGACTATTGTAAAATTACCAATTTGGTTCTCAACAATTTTTCTTCCCCAATTAAGTCCCCCGACTTTGAAAAACATAACCATTTTGGTCCTCCATTAGGTTAGGAGTTAAAATTCTATTAAATTAAAAGACATTGATGGAATTTCACATTTATCACCATTATAAATCAGATTGGAAGTTGGTACCTACGTAACCATTACGAGTTAACAGGTAGCTTTGATTAGTTTGTGAATAATGGCTTTTGCAGTTTTGCCCTTTTCTTTCTTTGGATTGCTATGAATTCATTGTTTAGTAGTTTATAAAATACATTTTTCATGGTTAGAGAACAGAATAAGATGGTATTACATTCTGAGGAGAACTTGAGACGGAGATTTCTTCTACTTTTCCTACTTACATCGGGCATATCCCAGCGTTCCCTTGGTTTGGGAAGACAAAGAGCAAAAACCCATATGATGAAAGACGTTTACTGCAACAGAACAAACGGATACAGAAATTACATGTTGGAACCCTCTATTTCTACACTACTCCTTCCACATTATCCCTAGACGCCATTACCCTCTCCTTGCGACTCTCTCTCAGCCAAGTCCTGGTGCATTTTTACCCCTTGGCCGGTCACCTGAGCTGGACCAGTGGTGTCGTCCCTCACTCTCAACTGCAACGCCAGTGGTGTCATCCTCATAGAGGCGGAATTCGACGCCGTGTTGGCCGATCTTGGAGACTTCTCGCCCTGCCCCGAGTTTAACCACTTCGTTCCTAGCGTAGACTACAGCGATGATGAAGGAAACCAAAGTATCAATGCTGAGATTAAGTAGACCACATATTGAAGCCAAAGGGGAGCCGAAGCCAACGCCACCAGCCCCCTCTTTGAGAGAAAATTGGCGATTTTTCAAAAACAAAACAAAGAAATCCTTCAGCCATTTTTTCCGTCGCCGGCGGATAGAATTCCGGCGATCAGGTTCGGTTATCGTCTCTTTCTTCCAAGGCCCGCGCAAGCCTCCGTCTGGGGTATCAAGTTGATCACCATCAGCAGGGAGATGATCGGCAGTCACCTGAACGCTCTCACGATCTAGTGCTTCGTCGATGATGGTTGCGGCGACGATCCGGAGGTCCATAATTGGCAGACTTCTTTGCTAATTAATGACTAAACATTAGCGTCAATCAGAAAGCAGAGGAGAAGCGTGAATCAGAGCAATTGTTATACCCTACACCACGGCTCGCGTAGCACTGTGCGCCGCGCGCCTCCCAAAACGACGTCGTTTTGGGGTCGTTTTGGGAGGCGCGGTAGGAAGTTGCTGTGATTATGTATATTTGTTCACACAATTATGTATATTTATTCATACAATTATGTATATTTGTTCATACAGTTATGTACATTTTTTATACAATTATGTACATTCTTTTTATACAATTATGTACATCCGAATCAGAAAATTTGTGTATTATCTTAAGAGTTGATGTGTATTATGTTAAAAGTTTATGTTTATTATGTATTATGTTAGATTATGTGTATTATCATTTAAAAAGAGTATGTATATTTTGTTATATAATTATGTACATTTGTGTATACAATTAGAAGAGTCTACACTGAGATCAAGAACATGTACACTTCCCTCAAGAACTTAAGAGCTCGGCGAAGGCTTGCTCATACGCTGCGAGGGATCAAGGCAAGAGTCAACGACATCGCTCAGGAACAGCCAAGATTGTTAACAACCTCTGCTCACACTGCCCACAACTACAACAAATGGTGGTATGATAGTCGAGGGGATGCCCTTTTGCTAGAAGAGTCGGATCTGGTAGGTATTGAAAATCCCAAGCATTTTCTTGTTAACCTCCTGCTTGCTGTTGATGATGATTTAAGGGTCCATTCTGTAGTGGGTATGGGGGGATTGGGAAAGACTACTTTGGTTAAAAAGGTTTATGATGATGCCAAAGTGATAAATCACTTTCAGTATCGTGTGTGGGTTACAATTTCTGAAACATTTAAGATTGAGGAGTTGCTGAAAGATGCAACTAAACAACTAGTGAAGCAAACTAAGCAAGATCTCCCTCAAGATTTTGAAACCATGGACTCAAATAAATTGAAAGAATTCATTAAGAATATTCTTTCATGCCAAAGATACATCATTGTTCTTGATGACATTTGGGACATTAATGCTTGGATGGCTATAAAATATTCTTTTCCTAGGCAGAGTTTTGGTAGCCGTATAGTTATCACAACGAGGAATAGTGAAATTGGTGCCTACACAAGTCACGAATCCCAAGGCGTTGTCTACCCTTTAGAGCCATTCTCTCATAAAGATTCATGGATTTTGTTTTGCAAAAAGATATTCTCTGATGGTTCATGTCCTCCACACTTGGTGAGCATTGCTGAAAACATCTTAAAGAGATGTAATGGTCTACCCCTAGCGATTTTGGTGATAGCTGGGGTGTTGGCTACAAAGAGTGAGAGCATTGAAGAATGGGAAAGATTCCAGCACAGTCTCAACATCCAAATGGAAAGCAATAATTGGATGAAGAGCATGAAGAATCTACTTTCCCTCAGTTACTATGATCTACCATATTATCTCAAGTATTGTTTTTTATACTTGAGCATCTTTCCTGAAGATGTCATCATCAACAAAAATATAGTGATTCGACTATGGATTGCAGAAGGATTTGTTAGGGAAAACAACAAACAAGTAAAAGAAGAAGTTGCTGAAGCCTATCTGAATGAATTACTTTTTCGAAACTTAATCATACTTGTTGAGAAGGCTTTAGATGGAAGAATGAGGGGATTTCGAGTGCATGATATTTTGCGAGAAATTATTCTTTCCAAGTCAGTAGAGCAAAACTTTACCATCATTGCCACTGGGCAAAACACAGAATCATCCAATAATTTTCGACGCCTAGCAATTCATGAGTTTGATGACAACATTCTGAAGTGCACTTCATCAAAAATGCATCTTCGTTCTTTACAATTCTTTGAACCACTTTCAAGCACGGCATCATCTTCATTGTCAAAGATGTTTACTGCCAAATATATTCCTCTAAAGGTATTAGATTTAACCGGTGCTGAACTAGAGGAAATTCCCAATGAAGTTTTTAACTTGTTTCAACTGAAGTACTTGAGTTTGAGGAGGACAAAGTTGAGAAGCATTTCCAAATCTATAGGACGTCTTCAAAACTTAGAGACACTTGATCTTAAGGAAACTTATGTGATTGAGTTGCCAGAGGAGCTCTTACAACTTTGTAAACTTCGGCATCTCCTTGTATACCGTTACCAAAGTATGCGGTTCAATCCTTGGACTAATGGTGCACAAATCTTTAATGCTCCATTTAAGATTGGGGAATTACTGTCTTTACAAAAGTTGTGTTATATACAAGCAAATGATACTAATGTAGTGTCTGAGATGGGAAAACTAACACAACTAAGAAGACTAGGAGTTAGAAAACTAAGACGAGAGGATGGCAAAGAATTTTGTTCGTCATTGGAAAAGTTGACAAACCTTTGCTCTTTAAGTCTTGGGTCGAATTCAGAGGATGAGATCCTTGATATTCAGCATCCTCTGAATGTCGTTCCTCTTCGTCTTCGTACATTAGAATTGATAGGGCGTTTGGAAAGAGTACCTCAATGGTTATCCTCACTTGTAGGCTTAACCACTCTATGCTTGCAATGGAATGGACTTGTTGAAGATCCATTACCATTTTTCCAAGATCTGCCCCTGTTAGCATGTCTTCAACTTTCAAAGTCTTATGAAGGGGAAGGATTGTGCTTCAAGGCCAAAAAGTTCTTAAAGCTCAAGCATCTGTGTATCCGTAACTGCGGCCCACTGAAATGGATAAGAATGGAGGAAGGTGCACTGCTTCATCTGGAAAAGTTTGAACTGGGAAAATGCAAATTGGTTGAGCAGATGCCGATGGGAATTGAACGTTTGTCTGATCTTAAGGTAATTACTATCTATGACTTGGCTGACAAATTCATTGCAAATTTAGACTCAGAAAGCAAACAAAGTGAAATGTATGCAAAGATATCTCACATTCCAAAAATTAACATTTCCCATGTCATAGAGGGTAAGAGGGAGTTTTTCTTTTTGTCTTTGTACCCAAAAGGTTGAATCCCCAATCCCAATGGGCCCTACCATCCAGCCCGACACAGCATCTAGGAGGTTAGACTTTTGCTTACTGCGCACAAGGAGCCCCTCACTTTGAGAGGTTGCTCTCACTGCCACTGGTGAGACTTGGTCTCTGGTCTTTCTTTCCAAACTTCATCCATGTGACTAACTGAGCAGCCCATGCGGGCGAAGTTTTTCTTTTTGTGATTTAATGGCTGGTGGTCATGAGATTTAGTATGTTGTGTTGTATATATATATACATTGTGATTTAAATTTAGTTGTTTTCTAGAGTATTAAATTAAAACTTTTGATTGTAATATTAATTGATGGTAGCTAGATTATCATATTGTATTGTCTAATACTCTTTGAAAGTGTTCATCACCAAAGATTTATCCACAAGTCGTTTAATTTGCAGCATAGGTTTTTATAATAGCCATGTAACCATGTTTGGTAAAATAGTTAGTCTATCAGTCAATTTTAGCTTGTTTGATCACTATTAGTTGTTTGACTTGATTAATCAATCAATATAAGTGTTTGGTTAATTAGCTTTTTATAACAGCTTATTGCTCCAAAATGCTAAAATTCAAAAAGTTCTTCAAAACACCTTTTTCGATTAGCTTTTTTGAGAAAGTCATTTTGTATATAACCAGCTCTCAGCTAACAACTAATTTACCAAACATATTTCTACAATCAACCAATACTATCAACTAATCAGATCCACTAACCCAATCAGCTAATAGCTATCAGTCAACAACTATTTACCAAATACCGTACCCCCAATATGCCACCTTTTGGGGCACAATAATATTAGAGATTGCTATTATATTGTAGAGATTTTTAAGAAATGATTGAATCTGTTAAATTAATTTTAAATTTCTTTTATATTTAATTTTTATTTAAATAAGTCCCTAAATATAAAATTCTGTTGTATATATTATGTATAATTTGTTACTGTCTCTTAACGGGATATATTATTAACCACTTCACAAATCATATTTAATTTTAATAACATATATACCATGTGCAGCAAAATGGATGTTTTGATGAGAATATATTTTCTGTGTATTAATCAAGAACAACGGATTCAGAGTATATAAAGACAGGAAATAGAGATCTAGTCTAATACTACTAATATAATAGAGATCTAGTCTAATACTACTAATAGAGTCCTAATACTCTCCATCAAGCACAAGGTTAGTCAGCCAAAACATTGAGCTTGCAACGGAGTAAATTAAAACGTACAGACGAAAGAGACTTAGTAAAAATATCCGCTATTTGATCTTTGGTAGAAATAAAATTGACTTGTAATTCCTTCTTTGCTACTTTATCACAAACAAAGTGGTAGTCGATCTCAATGTGCTTGGTGCGAGTATGAAACACCGAATTAGCACACAGATAAGTAGCTCCCAAATTGTCACACCAGAGTTTGGGCGCAGAAGGGTGGCGCAAACCCGATCTCCTTCATCAGGGAGACTAGCCAAGTAACCTTTGCAGAGACATCAGCCAGTCCTTTGTACTCAGCCTCAATTGATGAACGAGCCACAGTACGTTGTTTTCGACAAACCCATGAGACAAGATTGGTCCCCAAGAACACAGCAAAACCACTAGTAGACTTGCGATCATCAGGATTGCCAGCCCAATCCAAATCAGAATATGCATGAATATCCAGAGAAGGAGAAGAAGCAATCTTAAGGCCAAGATGCAGTGTCCCATTTACATACCGTAACACCCTCTTGAGAGCCGCCCAATCCGCAGAAGAGGGAGAATGAGTGTGTTGACACAAATGATTGACTGCATAGGAAAGATCAGGACGAGTTATCGTAAGATATTGCAGAGCACCTGCAAAGCTGCGGTGCTGAGTGGGATCAGCGTACCGCACGACGGTATCAGTCTCGGCTTTCGTGATTGAAACCGGAGTGGTCACGGGCTTGTAGTCAACCATACCTGCTCGTTTTATAATATCCTTCATGTACCGTTGTTGAGACAGAAGCATGCCATCGAACAACGGAACGGTCTCAATGCCCAGAAAAAACGAGGGCACACCCATATCACGAACTTTAAATTCAAGAGCCAACTTGTCAATAAGAGCAGTCACATGAGCCGAATCAGATCCCATAACCAAAATATCATCCACATAAACCAGAAAATATAAACGAGTATTGCCATGTGAATATATAAACAAAGAGACATCCGTCTTAGAAGGTGAGAAACCAACAGAAACCAAAAAATCATGCAAACGAGTGAACCAAGCACGGGGAGCTTGCTTAAGCCGATATATGGAACGTTGAAGGAGACAAACGTGCCCGGGCATCGTTTTGTTTTCATAGCCAGGGGGCTGGCGCATATAAATTGTCTCAGCGAGATTGCCATTTAGGAAAGCATTGTGTATGTCTAACTGTCGAATAGTCCATCCACGAGAAATAGCCAAGGATAAAAGAAGACGTACCGTAGTTGGTTTAACCACGGGACTAAAAGTCTCAAAGAAATCCTCACCAGCAACCTGATTGAATCCCTTGGCAACCAAACGAGCCTTGTAATGCTCAACCGAACCATCAGCTTTCCTCTTGGTTATAAACACCCACTTACAGCCAACCACATTCATACATGATTTAAAAGGAACAAGCCGACATGTATTGTTGTGCACCAAGACATTAAATTCCAAAACCATTGTATCCCGCCATTCGGAAAATTTGACCGCTTGAGTAAAACATGTAGGCTCAGTAGTGACATCAGTAGATAGAGCAACATGATCATGCGGTCCCGAGCTCCGTGTATTCATCGTATGAGACCGAACAAGCGAGGACGCGGGACGAGATTGACCACGGGGTCGACCCCTCGACCGAGCAGTTGGCTGGCCGTGACTGTCCGCTCGGACTCGGTCACGGGCGGCTCGGCAGAAACAAGCTGCTGGCGGTGTAGCTTGGGTCTGGTTATGGGCACGGCAGGAGAGTCAAAAACCGAGACAGCACTCGGCTCACCAGGAGGCACAACCAGCACAACACCCCATGGCTCCGGGCGTGGTGCGGGTACCTGCGAATCAACTGAAGCAACAAAAGGAAAGACAGTCTCATCGAATCGCACATGGCGACAGATAAAAACCTTGTTAGTGTTAGTGTCTAAACAACAATAGCCACGAAAAGACGAAGGATATCCTAGAAAGACACAAGGAGACGACCGAAACTGCAGTTTGTTGATTATAGGGCCGTAGATTAGGGAAGCACAGACACGCAAAAACCCGTAAGTATGAGTAAGAGGGCGGAGACCGATGCAAGAGGTAGTGAGGAGACTTATCAGACAAGACACGAGTGGGCATTTTATTGATAAGATACACAGCAGTTTCGAAGGCATAATCCCAGAAACGAGACGGAACCGAGGATTGGGCCATTAGCGCCAGTCCCGTTTCGACAACATGGCGATGCTTGCGTTCTACCCTGCCATTTTGTTCATGAGTATACGCACAGGACTGCCTGTGACGAATACCCAACGATGCGAGTGTTGAACCAAGCTTTTTGTATTCTCCCCCTAAATCAGACTGAAAAGATATAATTTTACATGAGAAGGAACGTTCAACAAGTGACCGAAACTTATCAAATATCGCATATAAATCAGACTTAGCTCGCATAGGATAATACCACACATAACGAGTGTAATCATCCATAAATAATACAAAATATTTAAAGCCATTTGCAGAAAGTATCGGCGCAGGGCCCCAAATATCTGAATATATTAATTCTAAAGGATGCGAACTAGTACATTCAACACGCGATAAAGGAAAACCGGATGACTTGCCCAATTGACAAGAGGAACAAATATTGGGCAGATCACTGGAATTAAACGAACTAAGACTAGAAGATGCTAACACTTGACGCATGATCCGAGAGTGTGGATGCCCAAGCCGCGTATACCAAACGAAAGAGGACCGTGCAGCAACAACGGCAGCGGGAGCCGGACGCGAGGCAAGCCAGGCATATAAACCCCCGGACGCATGCCCCTTAAAAAGAGTGTTCCTGGTTTGGATGTCCTTCACAAAGAAACACGAAGGGTGAAACTCAAAAAAGACATTATTTTCTTTAGCAAAACGCTTAACAGACAATAACGAAGAAGATAAACCAGGAACATGCAAGACATCAGACATACGAAACGACCTAGAATTAGCGGCTAACGAAGTAGAACCAACAGTAACAATAGGCAAACATGTACTATTGCCGACCCGAAGTGTCTCCAGACCATCATACGTAGTAGAGGACATCAATAAAGTGGGATCAGGAGTAGCATAATTTGTGGCACCAGTGTCAGGGAACCACTGATGAGAGTCGTCCATAGAACCATCAACACCAGAAACGGCGACATTTGCCTGAGGGTCCGGATCATGAGTGAAGCGACGCCAACACGTCGTAGCTATATGCCCTTGCTTGTTGCAAATCTGACACCGAGGGCCCGAGTTGGACTGCCCCCGGCCACGACCACCGCACCCCCTGCCGCGGCCACCACTTCCTCAGTCTTGCGAACTGCCACCGCGGCTGTGGTGTCCTCCACGGCTTACGGCCAAGGCCGCCGGTGCACCAAGAGCTGCACCGTCATCTGAACAGATCCACTCCTGCGAAACAAGGAAATCCGCAACCTCCGGGAGGGGAACGAGAGCACCACGGGCTAGGGTTGCCACCAACGGCCGGAACTCCGGGCGCAAACCGCGAAACACGTATAGATTTTGATCATCCAACTCAACGTGACGACCAGCGAGAGCCAGTTCATCAATCAACATCTGAGCGCGACCAAGGTAATCAGATATGGAGGAGTCACCTTGGCGGAGCCCTTGTAGTTCGCCGAGCCAGAGAGCGCGAGAGTGAGTGGACGACCCTAGGGTTTGTTCGATTACCTGCCAAAGCTGCCGAGAAGTGCCCTTGCCAACGGCGAACCGTAATGTCTCCTCGAACAAGGAAGATATAAACATGGAGAGGATGGCCTTGTCTTGCCGTCGCCATGCAAGCTGCCGCGTCGGGAGGTCGGAAGTCACCGCCGGGGCGCTGTCCGCGGTCGACGTCAGCGCTGGTGACTCCGTCGGAAAGGGTGTAGAACCATCATTAAACCCTAGAAGCCCTTGGCCTTCAAGGAACGGAAGCATCTGAGTCCACCAGAACAGATAGTTTCCGGAGGTCAACTTTAGGGAAACGAAGTGGTGAGCCAATGAAAGGCTACCACTCGCAAGCATAGAAGGAACCTCGGTAACGGTCCGTTCAGAAGAACCAAGAGCAGAGCCGTCATTAACACCGACGTTTTCCATGAGAGAAAACCTAGCTGATACCAGATGAGAATATATTTTCTGTGTATTAATCAGAAACAGCGGATACAGAGTATATAAAAACAGGAAATAAAGATCTAGTCTAATACTACTAATATAATAGAGATCTAGCTTAATACTAGTAGTAGAGTCCTAATACTTTTATTCTCGTTAACAAACTTTTCTAATGTTAACTTAATTACACTTGGTGCTATACTTTAGTGTCATAACTCGATTTATGACATTTAAAATAGTTTGGGCAAATATGGATTCAGATTTCAGATGATGAATTTAATGAAGGTGCATTCAAATTGGATAACATTTTCCTTTGGTCGAGTTAATTTTTTGCATCTGTGCAGTCCATTCCTCACAAAACAAAACTAATCTAGCCGAGTTAACTTTAATCTTAAAAGGATAACCCAGTTTGTGTTCTTCAAAATCAAAACAAGAAAAGCTCAATAATAATTTATAATTCTAATTTCAAAAACACAGTAAATATATTAACCAAAGCAATGAATATAAGCGTCATCACATTAACAAAGTCAATTTACAAGGAAGAAGCCTTCAACACCACAACCCAATGACACTTTTAGTAAAAAAATAATGTACTTTAAGTACAAAAATAATGTTCTTTTAATATATTAAAAATGTACCTGATATCCATGGTCCACACAATAATTTGCCGCATACTTATATGTGGGGCTAACATTTAAGTAGTTTGGGTAAATACGAATCATGGGTTTAATGAAGCTGCATTTGAAATTGATAACAACTTTTTTCTTTAGGGTCCGTTTGGAAAGTAAGAAAACATTTTCATTTTCTGTGTTTGGTTGCACAATGGAAAACTATCTTTTTGTATTTGGCTCGTTTTTCAGAAAATGTAGAATATAACAATTTTTATTTCAAATTTCATGCAACATAAATTTTGATTGTATTTAATCACAATGTCTTTACTCTCAATCTATCTTTCTAGAATTCTAGTACTCAAATTATTCTCAATCCATTTCCTCCTCAAGAAATAAACAATTTAGCATTGGAAACTCCCATCTAAAAAAATAAAAATAAAAAATAAAATTAGCATTGGGAAACCAGTACTGGTTTCCGATGCAGAAACCAATGAAACCAGCTCACTGGTTTCCGATGCGGAAACCAATACTGGTTCATCGGAAACAAGTTCTCTAGTTTCCGATGCGCAAGACGGAAACCAATGAAGAATACCACAACCGGTTGATGAAGCTTTTGTGGTTGTAGAATTGTTGGAGGAGGAGGTATTGGTGGAATTTTCTCTTCTAAATGTTGAAGGAGGAGGCGGAGGAAGTCAAAAGCAGTGAGCAGCGTGAAATTAGAAGATGAAAAATGACTTCCCCCAAAAAAGAAAAAGGGAAGTCATTTTCCGGAAACTTTGCCCCATTTTCCATTGACTTGTCTCCATTTTCATTTGACCACTCAATTTTCTACCTAGCCAACACCAAAAACCCGGAAAATGATTTCCAGAAATCATTTTCCGAATTTCCAAATAGAGCCTTAGTAGAGTTCATTTTTTCCATCCAGCACTAGCATCTCCTTCTTGTGGAATAAGACTAATGCTAGTTACTTATGAACTTAAAAAGGATAATTAAAATTAACAAAAGTAAAAATAAAAACACAATAGTATATTATTCTAATTTCAAAACCACAGTAATGTATATCCAATTGTTACACCATGGACCATGGTTCATATTGCATTGTGAACTCTAATCCAAAAATTATACATCTGCAATTGATACATTTTGTACCTACAATTAACAGTTTCTGCACCTGTTAACAAAGATACATAACATGATAATTACGAACGCATAAATATAACTACATACACATAAATAGTTAATTACAGATACAAAATATGTTAATTGTGAACACATAAGATGTTAGTTACCATGTTTTGTGTCTACAGTTAATATATTATGTACTTACCATTAATAGTTTGTGTCTGTAATTATCATGTTATGTGCCTTTAGGTACAAAATCGGTTAACTATAGGTACAAAATGTCTCAATTACAGACACATAATCTAAAGGTTATTTTTAGACCAAGGTCCACAATACATGGTAGACTTGGTCTATGGTATAATTTGCCATGTACATCCATCTAAAATGTGAAATAAAGGCATATTAACCAAAGCAATGAATATAAGCATCATCACATTAACAAACATAGCACTCGCTTTTGATTCATTATCATATAAATTATAAAATAAGCTACAGATTGCATTATGGGAAACAAAGTGAAAGTACAAGGAAGAAGCCTTCAATACCACATCCCAATGAAGTCCACTGGACCTTGCACTACAGAGCATGGCCTAAGGAGGGAAGGATAAACTAATTAAGCAACAAACAAAGAGGAAAAGTAGGCAGAGGGTTAAAGGCCCCAATACAAAACAAAAAGTAGTATATGCTCTGTAATGGGAAGCTAGGGGAGTGGCCCATGATTAGAAAAAGTGAAGTAGTATAACAAACAATGTGATTTTACCTCATTTACATTTTGTCTAGAGAGGAGGCTGATCTTTGTTGTTTTTGGAAGTTAGCTGCCCCATTTGTTCGGTAAGCTGTTCCATGTGATCCGCTTTGTTCCATCCATTTTCAACTTTCTTGGTTTCTTCGACCATAGAATCTTCTAATATGGTTGAATCCATCTGGTCAACCTCAACAGGTGGTGGACTCTGAAGAAACTTCTCCCAGAAGGAGGAGTCTAGAGGTATGTCGTCATCCATTAGGCCATTCTGCCACTCGATTTGAGGATCAGGAGAAAATCCATCAATTTCTAAGGGCATGCCCCCATTCCCCACCAGTGATGTTGGATCTATAAGATTACCACTCGAAGCTTCAGATCCTAGGATATCCATGTTGCTTTCAGGCACTATATCTCGTAACTGAGAAATCTCTGGCATCATCATATGTGAAGGAGAAAGCGAAACAGGAGGCAACTCTTGAGCTCCAACCAGTGGGCTTATATCTGAAAATTGATCACTTGCCATTTCAGCAGAATTGACGAGTGGGGAAGACTGAATCTCAGATATAGTCGGTAGTGAACCTTGACCAGTAACTGAGGAAGTTGCAGGCACAAAAGGCTGCCCAGAAACCGGTGTAACTCCTGAAACATGGTTGGGTGAACTCCCATGGTCTAATGTATTATTAGATTGAGAAGAAACATCACTAATCATAAAGTTATCAGGACTTGGACTGCTGCTGCCAAAGTTCTCCAGTCTAGGAGAAGAATCCATTTTCATTATTTGCCGAAGCACTGCCGCTGCTGCATCGTTCATAGGTTGATACTTTACAATCTGACTGTCGGCAGGGCTGACAGAGTGATCATCCAAACCAACTTCCTGTTTAAGCCTTCGTTTCTTGTTCCCTTCAGTTATGCGCCTATTGCTGTCATTTTGCTGCTGCACAAAGTGTGCCAGAAATCCAGGGCTGTTTACGGCTTTTGCAAGGAACGACATCATCTGTTGTTGCCGCTGCTCCATACCCTGTAGGCGCTGCACCATTGTTTGCAACTGATTGTCAGTAGACTGTTGCTGCTGCCTCAACCTAACAAGCTCTTGCATAAGTACATTTTTGTCTCTCTTCAGCCTCTCAACTTCCTCTTCAAGACCAAATTTCCCGACCTCCACACACGCCCCAACAGATGAACTCTGTCCTTGTGGTTGTTGCTGTGGGTGATTCTGTCCATGAGCAGGTTTTCGCCGACTAATACTTCTAAGCAGGTGTTTTTGACCTCTTAAAAATCCCTCATTAGCAAACTCCCAGCGGTCCGGATCGACCTTTCTAAAACCCTGCTCCACAAAGAAATACACGTAGAAATAAGATACAAGTAGGACAGTTCCATGATTTTATCAGCAAACTAATAAATTCATGTGTACAAACACTCAAAACTGAATTGTCATTAATGAACATATGGATTGACACAAAATATCTTTATATGCATCTAAAATTCCAAATACAAGTTGGCATTCAGGGCTGGATAGCAAACAAGATATGGTTATGAAAATATACCAGTGAAATCGACCATCAAAATGGATGACATTTTTTAAAGAACTTGCTTACCTACTTTTCCTGACTCATCTAGTTCAGACAGCACACATATAATTAGGTGCTCAGCAGTTCATTCAAGATCCAAATGCCCAAAGTAGAATTATTCAATTATGAAAAATGGAAGAAAAACTAATATAGTAGTCATAAGTCTTATGTCATTTTCTTCTTAGTGCTGCCTGTAGTTCGTAGATAGATTATGTAGTCCAAAACTCACATCCACATCAGCACAGTGAAGAACTGGGCATTGGAAATTATGCAAACTTACTAGTGATCACATGCTTCTGAAAGGGTCAATAGGAAATTATTAAAAAATAAAAAATAAATAAAAATAAAAATAAAAGAGGAAAAAAGTTACCCCGAGGAAGAAGCTGTCTCAATCTAATGGCTTAAATTGTAGTCCGTAACTATGTTTCAGAACTAAGCTTAAAACTTAAATATTACTGCAGAATCTGGCAAAATAAGAAATCTAGAACAGAGCAACATCTAAATAAACATGATTTTGATGCATAAATCATAACAACGTCAGTAACAAAATAACCATTAGACCTTCATGAAGCCTCCACCACAACACTACCACCACTAAGTTATATTGTTTTGACCATTCAAAAGAAATTGTGAATTCTTTACTTATCATCAAGAATTTGATGTGCAATTTACAAATATCACACATAAGCTCATTTCTATCAAGCGATAATCCCAATCTAATTGGAGTAGGCTGTATTAATCTGAAAATGGAATTAGATTATAGCCTTATAGGCACACTAAATCACTTGTCTTTCTTTTCTGTTTAAGAGGAAAATTGCACCAGAAACACAGCTCAGGGTTGACTATAGGAGTATAGGCATCACCATCAAGAAGTATGTGTACAGGGTTTTATATATATTTTTTGGTAGGTAAAGTTTTTGTACTAGTTAAACATGCAATGCATTGAATAGATGGTGTACTGAATGCTCATTCATGACCTGTAAGACACCAAAATTGGTGAAAGAAACACATGCTTAATAACCTGTCCAAAAGGCTTGTCAAACAGGGAATTTTGATGGCAACATCCTTCATGTATCATAGTAAAACTTTCCTATATTCATCATCTGGTTAATTGTCATTAAATTGTACACCACAACCTCCTTTGATATATAAAATGTTCTATAAGGATGCTCTTTGGACCAACAAACGCAAACTTAATGGAAGCATTAAAGGAGATCCTTTGGACCAACAATGAATATAAGAATGTGAGATTAAACGGCCAATATAAAGGACATAAATCATATAATCTTAAACAGAGTATATGATATTCACTGATGAAAGCACTTGAACATGTAAAATGAAGACATAGCACGGCAAACACACAATCAACGAACACTTATCTCTTTCATTTTAAACGTAAGTCTTGTTGAATGTTGATTTATAAGTCTTAATACCTCCAGAAATTCGAGAGTATAATACAGACTTAGCACAAGAGCATATAAAACAAAGATTGCAGATTCTTTTACAATCATTATTGCGTGCACCATGGCACACCTACTTACCTAGGCGCACTATATTTGATTACTTTCCCACCACCACGCTTATGTTCCAACTATTTCAGTAAAAATCCCAGTTATCAACCGCAAACTCAGACAATTGACACCACAATTCACTATAAACCAGGGACGGGATTAATTTAAATCTGATGAAATTTACCCCAACCACAAAATCGCAAATTACTTAATTTTCAGTAACAAAAACAAAATAAAAAAATAAAAGGAGAGAAAGAAGCTGAAGAATTGCATACATAAGTATTCAACTGGCGAACGAAGCTGGAGAAGTTATTATGCTTGAAGTACTTGGGGAGTAAGTCCTTGGCGAACTCCGGGGGATCCCAAACCACGAAGCTGTTGTTAGTAGGGCTCCAAGACACGATTTTATCCGTGCTCGGGTCATCCACCATGTCGTAAGTCTTCACAAGGAACGGCGGCGGAGAGTTCGTGCTCGGCATCGGCGCCGGCTGCGGCGGAAGAGACGGCTGAGCTCCATCCCCTGCAGCGGCGCCTTTTCCGCCGCTACTAGAATTCAACTCCATTTCGTTCGGGCAATCAAAAAATCAAAAAAATAAAAAACTAAAACAGTCGACCGCGCAATTATCATCCAATATTTGCCTATTTCCGGTCAATTGTGTATAGTATTACTGTATTAGGGCTTCAGAGGGGCCTGAAATGGGAACCATGGATGGTAAACCAAAACCCTAATTTTTAGAGAGAGAAAGTAAGTGAGAGAGCATGTGAAGGACAGGGATGACCGGAGCCCGGAGGGAACGGCCCACTTTATGGTCGGGTCACGACAGAAGAAAGTGAAATTATCAGATTGCCACTATATTCAATTTTAATTTTCCATTTTATCTCTTTTTTTTTTTTAAAGGATTTTATCTCATATTTTTATTACATGAGAATTGTTATTTTAGTTCGTTAATTATACTATAATAATTAACTCAGTTTTTTAATTATATATGTTACGTCATTTAGTCTCTAAATGGTTCATTTAGCGTTTATTTTAGTCTCTCATATCAAGCTTATGTTAAAATTAATTGTGATGAAATAATAATTTTAAAAATTTATTAGCTTCCCATTAAAACACAAATCAAATACGTAGTAAGTTTTAAAGTTGTAATCATTTCTGGTACGTAATATATATTATTTTTCTTCTTCTTTTTGTTTGTAAATAATGCTTAATGAACAACAATAATTCCATAGCTTAATTTTTTCAAGAGTTAAATCCACTTTTGGTCCTACATTTATTGTGCATTGGACACATTTTGTCCGCTTTTATTAATTTTGTCATATTTTATCCATACTTTATAAAAATTGGACATTTTTAATCCAATGTTACTTTTGACATTAAGCAGCCGTGAAGTAGAAGGATAATCCTGTCCTTTCATATGTAATTCTTCTCAGCCTTGTTTGTTGCCTTGTTGGTCTCCCCGTCAAAGTTGAAGAGAACTTCATATGGGCTAGAAGAGCAAGGACTTATGCTAGGTACAAATCTGTAGATCACTTCATTACGCTAGGGAGATTAACCTGGGATTTCCAGCGATTGGCCAACAACAGCGCGGATTTGGGGACCAGCTTACTATACATGCCTCGGATGAAGAATGTTTTCGGGTTAGGGGTAGAGAAGCACGTGAAGGACCGATTGGAAGAGAGTGTGTCGTACCCCACCGGATTCCACCCCTGGTCGGAGGCCGACATCCGGCAATGGCAGGCCTACGTCCGCTCCCAGAAACGCACAACCTCTTCACCTTCGTCGGTGCCAAGCGCCACAAAATCAAGAACGATTTTCGAGGTCGGTTTTGGCTGAGGTGCCCAATTAAGCTATTTCCCTACTCTCTTCATTTAATTAGTTAAATTGTCTTGCTTATTTCCTTTTTACTTCTGTGGTTTTGGGAATTTTTGTGGCTTTTTCTGAGGCTTATGAATTCTCAGGTTCTATGGGTTGAGGTCATCTTTTTAGCTACTGTAATGGGTGCGATGATTATAAATTACAGAGAGAATAATAAAAGACTTGATTTTTTTGAATGAAGTATTTGATTTTTGTTTTAAACTGAAACTTTAAAAATTTGCACTATCCTAGTGATGGAAGAATTGTGTTTTCATTGTGCTGTTTATGATCATAGGCATATTTTCAGTGCAAATTTTAAGAGAGTGACTCATAGGCAAATTTTAAGAGAGTACTCTATTATGTTTGTAGTGTCAGAAATTTTAAGAGAGTGACTCATAGGCATGTAGTTTTTTTTGTCCTTGGGGTATGAATGATGCATTGAGTTCTTGCTTAGAATCATAGATATAATTATTATATTATAACTTTTGTCTAATAATTTTGTATTACATACTACTTTCATAACTTTTGGTTTCATCTCTTTGCTCTGTGAACTGTCAGTGATTGGCAGAGGCATGCTTAGCACTTCATTTGCATTATGTTGATGACTTTTTAATGCATAACCAGTTTGGAAGCTCTTGTTTTTATGGTTGTAACATATGAATGAAGCCCTTTAATTTGAAAAAAGAAAATCAAATGTTTTCTTGAATGCATTCTGTGTAGAAGTCATCGCCTATTTTATCGACATTGCTAAACTTATGGTTTTGGGAGGTTTATTTGTTGGTTTCAGTGGATCTGCCTCCATTCTCAATGAGTAACCACAATATTTTTCTACAGTATTTATTTATTTATTTATTTTTTGCTACAGTTTATTGTTTCTAGGATAATTTCATCTCTGTTGTGGAGGTTTATTTTCTGGAACATGGAGACTTTCTGAAAAAAAAAAAGATGAATTTAGTGTACAAATTGAATTATATATATATATATATATATATATATATATATATATATATATATATATATATATATATATATATATATATATATCTTTCTAGTGAGTGAGCTGATGATGTGTTTGCCTTTCCCAGCAGAGCTAGCTTCGAGACGAATTCTCTAGGTGAAATGCAGATGATGTGTTTGCCTTTAGCTCAGGACTGCAAAGGACAAAAATGCCCTTCAATTTCACAGAAACTTAACGTCAATTTGGACGGTGGACTAAAAATGTTCAACTTTTATTAAGTCTGGGCAAAATGTGGAAAAATTAATAAAAGCGGGCAAAATGTGTCCAATGCGTAATAAATGTAGGACCAAAAATGGACTTAACTCTTTTTTCAAAATAATGATGGGAAGTTAAGAAAAGACAACGAACCGAACATAAACGAACGGAGGTTGTTCGTGTTCGTTTGTTAAGGAATTTGGAGTGTTCGTGTTCGTTTGTTAAGGTTTTTTAAAATCCTGTTCGTGTTCGTTTGTTAAGCGTTCATTAGTGTTCGTTAATGTTCACGAACGTGTTCGTTAACGTTAATGAACACGTTCATGTACGTGTTCATTAATGTTAACAAACATGTTCATTAACAAGTACGTTCACGAACATGTTCATGAACACTTAATAAACAAACACCAACACATGTTCATGATCACAATTCGTTCGCGAACAAGAAATAATCTACGTTCACGAACAATAATCAAATAAACAACACAACTACAAAATTAATACAAATAACTAAAATACGGAATAAGTCCACTCGTAACATCAAAATATCAAACTAAAAATAAATCTCAAACACATAATTTGTCTGTTCACGTTACAAGCCAAAACATAAAAACATAAAGCATGAGATATTTAAATTCTGCATCCATTATCCATTCTTAAGTGCCCATTCTTACAGGATTTAACCATACATATATTACTGCATATCCAAATGCATTCTGAAACTCGGACTCATCAAGTTTTTTTATCTAACACAGACACAAGAAATTAGTAATTCAATATACCAACTTTAAATTAGGAGATGAAGTCGTTATTATAAGTTGAAGACAGGAACAAACAAACTAAAAGATAAACAATTTCAAATCCCCTCAACAAAAGCATAACCAAAAGGTCTTGGAGGGTATTCAACAAAAAAAAAAAAAAAAAAAAAAAAAAGTATTGGAAGAAGTTTCAAATCAATATGTGCAATTGGTCCATACTGCAATTACATCCAAATATCCAATACATGTCAAATTGTCAGGAATTAAAGTCAACCAAAATGATATAGAACTTATGAAAAAATCTTTTTAAAATACAAACAAGCATGAAATTAACGGGGTATGAGGGAATCTAGAACAGGAAATCAAGAATCTTTCTCCTGCAAAAAAAAAAAAAAAAAAATAAAGATATTTGACTCTAGGCATGAGAAGAGGGGGAAAAAAAGCTATTTACACAGGAATAATGTTTTCAAAAATACCTTGTCACAACCCTCTTCAGATCTTCCTCCCCCAGATCTTGTCACAATACCTCCATCTCTTGAAATCTTTGGTGAAGTCCTATAAGCTGTCCCACTTGAGATTGCTGCTTTTCAACCTGAAACAATAAAACATAAAATATACTATCTAACTAAAGAAATGAAAACATAATTGAATATTGCAGTCAATCAACTGAAATGGAAAATAAAAAAAATCCCCAACCATAAAAGAACAAATAAACACACAAAGAATACACAAATTAACAAGAAAATTCAAAGAACAAATAAACACACAAATACAATGTCAAAGTGGCATACTAGCATCAACCATAAGTACTAAGATATAGAGAGAGAGGGGGTATGGTAGTAGTGATGGTGTCTTCGACGGTGGTGGACTGGTGGCTACGGCCTACGACAGGCCGGGCAGAAGGCGTCAGTGGCGGTGGTGGGTTGGTGGCTGCTGCGGAGGCCTGGGAGTGTGGCTGCTTCCTGAGTGACGGCGATGGTGACGGTAGAGGTCCGAGCGCCGGCGGTCATGGTGGCTGCTGCCTGCTGAAGTGCTGAAGATTGAAGAGGACTAAAGGAGGGATGGAGGATGGAGAGGAGAGTGGAGAGTGGTAACTGGTAAGTGGTAAGTGTAAGTGGAGCCGAAAGTGAAGTGTGCTGAAGATGGGAAAAGTTGGAAACCCTAAATCATAAAATTACCTTATTATCCATGTATAATTTAATATATATATATATATATATATATATATATATATATATATATATATATATATATATATATATATATATATATATATATATTATGTGTGTGTTTGTTAACATGTTCGCGAACATTATTAAACGAACACTAAACGAGCTTGTTCGCGAACATTATTAAACGAACACAAACGAGCTTGTTCACGATCTCTTAGCAAACGAGCTTACCACTGTTCAAGCTCTGTTCGTTTATTAACCGAGCTCTAAATTTTGTTTGTTAATGTTCGTTTACATTAATAAACGAACATAAACGAACGCTTACCGAACACGAACACGAGTAGTTTGCCGAAAGCTCTGTTCGCTAACCCCCTAGAAAAGACTAGTAATAAAGTATGAAAAAAAAAAGATAATACTTTTAAGTCAAAAACATATTTTGATTCCCTTCAACCAAATATATACAACCTAGTTAGTATAAATATATTTTCCAAGATACAACAGTTATATCGAGTAACTGGAAAAATAATAATCTTGAAAAATATATTTGTATTAAAATACATGTATCTGCTTGAATTAGGATTTAAACTTGTAATCCCCTATTTGGGAAGTCTTTGATATTTTTATTATTAATTTATTTACATTGAATTTTTAAAAATGTTTAAGTTCGATGATATTGAGTATACATTTGGAGCTAGACTTATTTGATTTTAAAAATTAAAATACTAAATATGATGAGATTGATAAATGAAAATTAAAAGTGAAATTATTATTATTATTTTATTATTGTTATTATTATTGATTCATG